TGACTTCTAAATATGAAATTTAGAAGTTCCTACGGTACATATCCATTCTTCAAGCGACCTACGATCCATGATTCCCTAGCGTGTTTGTAGCCTATAAAACGGTGTAATAGAGACTCATCTATGCAAAAATTTATTATAATTAAGTGGTGGTTTGGTACCACCATAAAAGTTTAAAAGTTTACATGGATAATTAGGTCAGCTTATAAATCAGTCTTGGCACTTTAAATATGATAACAGTGTGTTAACCATTTTACACTAAGTGAGAATGAATGTATAAGTGAAGTACTATGTATGCATATGTATACATAATCCACATAAAATTTAGGGTAATATAGATTTTGGAGTTAGGGTATGACATGGCCTTATTCTAGTTTCCCTACTCCGATGATGCTCTGTAATATTATTCATTGTACTATAAATTTATAGCATGGTAATAAATATGTAGTGCCTTATTAAAGTTTTTTTTTGTTAGTCTTTGATCTCCAAACATGACATGAAAAAAGTCATTTAAATATGTTTTCATCAAATAGTACTGTAGCAAAGTTTCATCAAGTTCATCATTAGATAGTTCTTTTATAAAAACCTCAAATAAAATGATTTTGATAGAATGTCCTACTTGCTCTACTCTTAAATAGTATGTTAATACTTCGGAATAAGTAGTCCGCTGAACCGTCTCATATTTTTAAATAAAACACTCATCTTATAAAATGGGTAATATTCACTAAATGCTTGAACCCTTCTCTTTGTTTCTCTCTTTCCAGGGATTAAAATTCAATATTAAAATTGTTTGTTACCCACTTGAGTTCTTGTTTGGTATTATTATTCCAAGGTTAAGGGGATTAATCGAATGATTTCATATGTAACCTCTTTACCGCAAAGATTTACTATGCTATCATTTTGTGCATGTTAATTTCAAATGATGTGATATAAATAATAATGCACATATATGGGAGTTGAAAGAATGTTTTATCATTACAATTTAATTATCATGGCCTTTCCTTGTTGGCTTGTTGTGGTGGCTCTTTGTAACTCCTACTGGGTTCTTTTGGTGTTGTGATTGGATGGCTGGCAATCTCATATGACTCGGTGCTAATAATCCTTGCTATAACATCGTATACCTTGCAACAATCACTATAACCCCACTTGACACCTCAAGTGATTTGATTTTCTATAAGATAACATGCTTTGATTATTTTTTTCTTCAATATGGTGGTTTTTTCTTCAATATGGTGGCCTAGTTGTCATGTGCGTATACATATGTAAAGCGATTGAAATCATCCAATGGCCAAGATAAAAGCAACCATGAAATTAATGGAGGATTAAGCGTTGAATGTTTTGCCTTTTATAGAGAATTTTTGAAGTTTATTTTCTTATTTCTTAGAAGCTTTAATAGATGATGTAGGATGGTTCTATAGGACATTTAATGGGCCTTAAAATGGTTTACAATTCTATATATCCTATAGATTAGCCGTTGATATTTTTTGTTTACTGTTAGGATCAATGCTCTTGAGTTTTTCTATTGTTTAAATTCTTATAGAAGCTCTTTATCATTATTGTGAACATGTATGTTTTTGCGTTAGCTTTAAATTAAATAATGTTTGTATTCAACTACGTATATTTATAAAGTGATATAAGATAATATAATCTACAATATAATGTCACTTTATCTTTATTATATGATGTTACGCACACTCATAATAGGGACGGATGCTTCGCTACCATTTTTAAGGAACATCGATCACTCATAGTTAGGTTTATTTTATTTCTTATGGCGTCGTAGATATAATTTAGTTATCTGTATATGTTGACTTCTATACAATAATATAATCACCATTATCATGTTTTTAGAATTTTATGATGGTTAAGATTTGACGTCAAGATATGTATTCGTAATATATATATTTAAAATATAAATACATGAATTTAGTTTTCTTATAGTTTTCCTTATAAATCATATAGTATCATGATTCCATAGTAGCAGGAGTATTTTCTTCTCTTTTTTTATTTACATTTTTATGATTATTTGAGCGAACCGTAAAATTTTAGAACATGAGCCAACACAATGTATTTTATTTTCAAGAATACCTATGGAGTAGATTTTTTTTCTCGCACCATAAATTTAGTCGTGATAATTTAAATTAGCAGCTTGATTTATATGTTATAATTTTTTTAGGTTTTTTGTTTTTTACTTAATCAATATAGGAGAAAAGGGTGGACACCAGCTGATTAAGTTTTTTTTTGAAAACTATTATGATAAATAGTGATTTACATCTGACTAATATAGCATGGAAATAGGAGATATCATATGCATAGAAATAGGAGAGAATTAAAGGGATAGAGGGGAGAGCGTACATCTCTGATCTCCCGTACGCACGGCATGGCCAAATGGGATATGGATTTTTTTCCCCAAAATATATCTAATTCCATATAATGTTGGTCTACCAAAAAAGTGTAAATCAAATAACTGAAAATCTGAAATAGCGGGTCCACCGGTTTATTAGATTACCACGTGGGGACATAGGAGTGTTTGTAGGAGTCCCATATGGCGGCATGAGAGCATTTGTAGGAAGTTTAATGGACTTTTAGTATATAATAGATAATAGATATAATAGACAATAATAGTCAAAGTTGTTTTTTGGAGACTATGCTCTTGTCCAAAACGATAAGTATTATAAACCCGGAGAGAGTAATAGACTTCTTATGCATAGCACAGGTGTAGGCTCAATTCATCAATTGTCACGACAACACTGTACTCCTACTCCGTAATAGTGTAGTATACGGCAGGCACGGATAGCATACGTACGGGGAGGATCGGCTCGGCCGGGCCTACGGCTACGATACGCGCGGCTAGGTAGCTCCAATCGCAAGGCGCCAATGGCCAAAATGAGCCTCGCATGCCGCGCCGCCCGACCGGTCGCGGCGGCCGGACGGACGAGCGCGATGGAGCGCGAGAGGGGAGGGCCCCTTGTGTGCGTCAGGTCAGGCAGGCCCGGATAGTAGCTCGATCAGGCGGCGGACCACTCATCTCCGCCTCCGCGGTCGCCAGAAACATCATCTGGGGCCATATTTTACAGTGGCCACCACCCACCCTGTACGCCATGGCAAATTTGCCGGCGCGTCCTCGGTGTTCGCGCCGGGCGGCCGGGCTCGATCGGTTGTCACGGCGTGGCGTGGCGTGGGGGACGGTCGCGCGCGCGATCCGTCAAAGGCTGCCGCCGCGCTGGTCCATGCCGGCCGGCCGGGCCACCCCAACTGCAGCCAAGCAAGCAATTCTAGTAGTAGTAGCTGCTGATGAGGATTGGCTAGCTGTGGCCAAGGGAGAAGAGGAGGCATGGCAGTGAGTGACAGGAACACATCGGCAGTGTGTAGGCGCCTATTTGCCCCCTCCTCGGTCCGGGAACCCTTGTCCTCTCTTTTACGCCCTTGCTCGCTTCCCTAGGTTTTCGTCACATGCAACATTTTTGCGACTCCGCCTCCTCCTCGCACAACAACATGGCTAGCTTGTGGTCACATTTCATTTCAACTTGTCTTATCTACGATCAATTATTATAATAGGATATGCCACATCCACTCAAAATCCCTTGGCCTATGTACAATCGTGCCCCTAGAGAGTATCCCTAGCGCACGCCATCCTACTCCGTTTGCTTTTTCGTCCGCACAGTCCCCCCCGCAATGGAACACGTGTCTCTGCTGGGGGACGCGGCCCTTGCTTGTTTTTGGCACGGGCACGCAGCCGAGGAAGCGTGTTGGGCGCGAGTGTGGCTTGTGGACACCGTTCCCACCGAAAAATTTCCCCTTCCACCCCTCAGCCCCTCTCACTCATCGCCCTCACAGCCGCCAGTGTTGAGAGAGAGAGGCGAGCGGGCAGCGGCGGCGGCGGCGGCTGTGAGGGCGAGAGGGAGAGGGAGACGATGCCGGTGATGGCCTGGAGATGATGCCGGCGACGACCTGTGCAACCTCCTTCGTCGGCGCCATGGCCTCCTCCTCAATGCGGCAGGACTGGCGCCGCTCCATCCCGATTTGGCCGCAATGGCTCCAGCGCGCATGACGGTGCCGGATCTGCCGCCGCCGGCGCCGGAATGAGATCGGCGACGGTGGCGGGGCGAGGCCGACGCGAGGCGGGGAGGATGGCGATGGCCATCGCAACCCGCGCATGGCTCTCTGTCCGCCACCTCGACCAGTGCGCCGCTCTCCGTCGGTGGCGACGGGAGAGAGAGGCAGCGACGACGGGCGGCGGCGAGAGAGAGGATGAGGGAGAGAGTGGCGATGGGTGAGAGAGGGAGAGAGAGGGGAGCGACGACGATGGGAGAGAGCGGGAGGCGGCGGCGGTGAGCGACAGTGGTGGGAGAGAGCGGGAGGCGGCGACGAGCGGTGGCGAGAGAGAGAGAGAGAGAGAGAGGGAGAGAGTGTTGACGAGAGAGAGGGAAGAGTTGCTGAGGGGTAGTTGAGGAAATTTAATATCGTGACTTTTTGGTAGGGATACCCACTGTGAGCTAGAGTATCTTCACGTAGTTGTTTCGGATTTTGAGGAACCCACCTAGTTGTGGTCTCCATTAAGAGACAAGTGTCCCTATGAGTGTCTTTAGTTAGTGAGGATATTTTATGTATATCTTCCGTTATACATACCCTCATATTACGGGACGGAGGGAGACTAACTTCGTAGAGTACTACAGTAGTAACAAAAACAACACAAGGCACAGACTGTAGTTCAACAGTGAAAACATTACTTCTACTATGAGCATACATATATATCCATCCAAATGCCATGGTCATTGCGAAAATTGTCATCTTGCATATATGCATGCAGGGTTACGTTTACTCCCAGTACACACAAGACACTACTAGCTTAGACACATCTTCATTCAGAGAAGATAGTACAGTACAGTAGCCTAGCATATGATTCCTTGCTCTGCAAAGAAAGCTACTGCACATAGGCAGGGTGTGCAGTCAGTGCCTACACCCCCTGCACCCTGCCTACCCTTCTCGCCAGCCTTCTGTCACCCTCCGTACCATCATCTACATCACCCCTCTTCCCTGTACCACGAAGCATCTACCATGGCCATCGCCACGCCTCGCCTCTATATATACACCGTGCTCTCACTCTCCTGCTAACCAAACACAGAATCATCATCCATCGATCCAAGTAGCTAGCAAGAGCTCTTGTAAAAATGCCAGGACAGGTGATGGAAGCTGCGCTGCAGCAGCTGCCGGCGTCCATGGCGTCGGGATCGCTCCTGCTGCCTCCCGCCTGCCTCCAGCATCCGCTTCCGGCGGCGGCGGCGGCGTCAGGCGGCGTGGGAGGGAGTAGCAGGGAGCAGTGCCCGCGGTGCGCGTCGCACGACACCAAGTTCTGCTACTACAACAACTACAACACGTCGCAGCCGCGCCACTTCTGCCGCGCCTGCCGCCGCTACTGGACGCTCGGCGGCTCCCTCCGCAACGTCCCCATCGGCGGCTCCACCCGCAAGCGCCCCCGCCCCCCCGTGCGCCGCCCGCCCGTCCACTTCACCGCCGCCGCCGCCGCCGCCGCCGCCGCTGCACCGCCTCATCACCATCATCATCATCACGGCGGGCCGCTCACGCCGCCGCCGGCGACCTCTTCTTCCTCGCAGCAGGCGGGCCTGCTCGGCTCGCTGTTCGCGCTCGGCGCGGCGCCGCTGCTGGAGGGCCGCGTCGGCGTCGGCTTCGACCTCGGCCTCGGCCTGCCCGGCCCGGGCCACCACCATGCCGTCGCCGGCGGCGGCGGACCTGCTGCAGCGGTGGCGACGTCGTCGTCGTCGTCGGCGGCGGCGCCTCTGCTCTGGCCCACCGGGCTGTTGGACAGCAGCAGCAATAATGCCGAGACATGGAGGATGGCGGCCGGCGGCATGTGGCCGGAGTTCACTGCGGCGGCGGCGCAGGTGGGCGGGCTGATGCATGGAGGGGCCCAGCAGCAACCACAGCTTCTGTGATAGTACTTCTACAGTGCAAAAATACTTTCCCATGCATGCATGCATGCATGTAATGGTCGACTAGGATTAGCTTAATTGTGTTTTCAGTACTGCTGCAGGATGTTCCCGTAGTTAGTCGATATGGAGGGTGTCTAATAGCGCTGGGTGGGTTAATTACGTGTTCTTTACTGCGTGGTCGATGTTAGTACGAACGTTGTTGTTGTTGTGTTCTGTTTTAAAACAAGTGTTACTGTGTGTGTGGTATATGATCCATAGTACCGAGCTAGTACAAATTAAATTAAAGTTCCTTTTTTTTCCCATGAAAACCCCTTTGTTTGTGTCATATTTGCTATTTATATATTTACTTCTTTCTGCTATGCTCTTGTTTTCGGAACTTGTTTGGACAAGGAAAATGGGCGAAGGGTTAAAATGAAATGAGGTTACCAGAATGGATGTGCTGCCTGTAGTACCATTAATCTACTAGTTCTCGTGCAACCAAAGCTGCCAGGATAAATCTTCAACGGCGGCGGCCCGACTCGAGTAACTGGACTGGGCTTTGAACTAGTAGTTTTTCATTCTTCAGCCGCGCGAGAGCTGCCCAGGGAAAGGACGACAGGCTAACAAGTACGGAATAAGTTTAATTTAGGTCCTCCTTTACAATACCAGACATGACGCTCCTCTGCTATTTATGTTGATGCCCTCATTACAAGGTTGTGTCAATCCCGCTATGATGATGGTAAAAGTGGTGTCGCAACACACATAATATCAATCATCAACGCGGTTCAGCGACTAAGAGCTATGGACATGACTATTTCTAATGATTTTCTTGTCTATTTCATTATGAATTCGTTGCCATCAGATTTTGAATCACTAAAAGCTAAGCTATCATACTCAAAAGAATAAATAGTCAATTACAGAATTAATAAGTCATGATGTTAATGAGGAAAAATGACTAAATGCCGAAAGGCGTAATAAGCAATCTTTCCCCACTAAAGCTCTAAAGACTAATGAGAATCTCACTAATGAGCTCAATGAGTGAAGCGTCATCATTGTCTGTAAGCTTTGCCATAAGTCTGGGCATGAGTAAGAGGACTGCGAGGGCTTCAAACAACAGCTTCCTTATAAGGGTAATCTTACTAATTGCAATATTATTGCCAATACTTATGACACATTTATATGATACCTAATACCCTTTAATTCTTGGTGAATGACATAGGTGCATTGCACTTATTCAATACAGTAAAAGGAGAGCAAAGCCATCTTAATGGGAATAAATTTGATGAGGAGACAGTTGAAGATCTTCCCTTAGTCTATAAGGACCTTGGTTGTTTCTTTTTTCAATGTTTGTTCAGTTATGTTTTCGGACATATTTTCATTTATATGGCTACAATATTGAGTTTGATAATAAGGGTTATTTATTGAATTCAATAATAAAGTTGAGAGACTTGCCTTCGAGCGAGACAAATTATAATCGCTCCATTATGATACTGTGTTTGATGTTTGCGATGTTGTATGAGACCTCATCGAAATTGTGACATTGTTGTTTAAGTCATATTTCGAAAGGGAAGATTATGTTTCACTGCATTAGAAACGCCTTTACTAGCTCTGAAGTCTCTAAAGATAGTAGAGGTACATTAAAAATATAAAGTTTTCTTTCAACGGTAAAATATTATTCATGAAAAATACCAGTCTTCCAAACACAGACATGGACGTGCTTCACAATATATGTATTGTTGTGTGTTCGCTGCTGGTACATATGGCAGACGTACGTAGTATCATGTTAATGCTAGCAGAGGATATAGAGACTAAACTTTAGTTCATGTCACGTCGGATGTTTGTACACTAATTTGGAGTATTCGGTGAGACGTGGAGATCTAATCTGTCGCCGACGACTCTGCCAATCCTGTCCAGGTTAAATCTCTCAACTCAGCTGAAGTGCATGCAATTTACTGTTGATTAGCATGTTTTTTAAGATAATGTGTTGATTAGTATGTTTAATGGTGATTAGTTCATTAATTTAGCTAATTATTATGTGTGTGTATCAATTGCGTCGTGTAGAACATCAGGCTGGTGATTGACATCGGCGACACAACGATCCAGGTCCCTCTCAATGGCCCCACCGTCGTGCAGAACATCGGCCGTCAGGCTGCCGCCGCCGTCGCCGGAGATTCGTCAGCCGGTGGTGTTAGTGAGAAAACCGGTGGTGCTGGTGGCGGCGGCGGCGAGGAGTGGATGCAAGAACAGGATGGCTTGTTGTGCATGCGCGGGTGGCTGATGGCGGTGGCCACGCTGTTTGCCGCCATGGCGTTCCAGGCGGCGCTGCGGCCGCCGGGGTGGATGCCTGCCGAGGCCGCGTGACTGGTTCGCGGCGCTGCTCGCCGCCGACCCGGCGGCGGCCGCCGTCACGAGGGACCAGGCCGGGAAGGCGATGCTGTACCTGATCGTCAACACCTGCACCTTCGCCACGTCGCTCGCCGTGCTCCCTGATGCTGTTCGCCGTCGGCGGCGGCTGCGCGTCGAGGAGGGTCACCGCGTGGCTGATCACCAACATGATGACGGCCGTCGCGCTGTTCGCCGCGGCGACGTTCGCGCTCTGCGCCGCCGACGACTACCGGCTCATGGACCGTTCGTCGGCACCGTCGTGGCCGCAGTCACCGTCGTGGTCGTCAGGTGCAATCTTGCTCTGCCGTTTCGGGGAGGCGACGCCGGCCATGGTTGTAGCTGGGTTTCAAGATTGTAAACGCGTCTATGCAAAATTGGGTCATTGGCTTTGTATCCAAACCACACAAGGACACATTGATTCTGGAAAATCACGATGAGACGAAACATAATAAGACCAGATATGATAATTACTGGGACTGCGGGCCGGCCTGTGTTTAATTCAGCCACAGCCCATATTACTACACGCGTAACGCATAAGAACAATGTTTTGTACCACATGGAAAATCTACATCGGTTTAGACCGGTATAAAAGAGGACATGATCGAGATGCTCCTGCCGAGCTCGGTGGTGCGAGCTTGTAATCCCAGTTGCGGGGGGGCGGGAGTTGGCAAGGTTTGGCTGTTGTTGAGGGATCGAGGTATATACGAGATATTTCTTCCTCGGGTCTCGTGCCGGATGCTAGTGAATGTTGTTGAGGGATCGAGGTATATACGAGATATTTCTCCCCCGGGTCTCGTGCCGGATGCTAGCATTCACTATCTGATATTTCTCCCCCGGGTCTCGTGCCGGATGCTAGCATTCACTATCTGATATTTCGTGCTAGCCAACTCACGAGAGAAGCCACGGCCCTTGTGCCGCCTAACGAAAACGTCTAGGTGACTCCTTGTCTACTCACGAGAGAAGCCACGGCCCTATCCCGTCCAACTCCTCTTTTTTTTTAATTCATGGTACATTCTTATTTTCACACCCTTTCCACTCACAAGATCATCCACGGATTTGATCACTACAATCGATCATGAGAGAAGCCACGGCCCTATCCTGTCCAACTCCACGGCCCTTATGCCGCCTAACGAAAACATCTAGGTGACTCCCTATCTACTCACGAGAGAAGCCACGGCCCTATCCCGTCCAACTCCTCTTTTTTTTAATTCATGGTACATTCTTATTTTCACACCCTTTCCACTCACGAGATCATCCACAGATTTGATCACTACAATCGATCACGAGAGAAGCCACGGCCCTATCCTATCCAACTCCTCTTTTCTTTTTAAATTCATGGTACATTCTTATTTTCGTACTCATTCTTATTTTCGTACTCTTTCCACTCACGAGATCATCCACGGATTTAATCACTACAATCGACCCAAACTCTAAATGTGCCAAATGGGTTTAACACATTAAAACCTAGGTCTTAGGGTTTTTTAATTCATGGTACATTCTTATTTTCACACCCTTTCCACTCACGAGATCATCCACGGATTTGATCACTACAATTTATCATGAGAGAAGCCACGGCCCTATCCTGTCTAACTCCTCTTTTCTTTTTAAATTCATGGTGCATTCTTATTTTCACATTCTTTCCACTCACAAAATCATCCACGGATTTAATCACTACAATCGATCCAAACTCTAAATATGCCAAATGGGTTTAACACACTAAAACCTAGGTCTTAGGGGATCGAGCTAAATAATGATTGGAAAGAAGTAGATGAGATGTTTTAGAAAAAAAAAGCTATTATCTAAAAAAAGAAAAAAAAGCTAAGTTGTTGGAAGAGCAAATTATTATCTGCAGGTAGTAATCCAACTCTTATTAATTCAGTGTTGAGGAGCGTACCAATATTTATGTTAACCTTTTTACGATCCTTTGGGGAATTTTTTTAAAAAAACCTGATTATAATATATCAAGAATTTATTTGTCAATGTGGATTGGGTATTCTAAACTTGAATGAGATGTTTGCTCCACAAACGGTTATTCAGGTTAATAAATGAGGAAGGGGTGTGGCAAAATATTCTTTGAAACAAATTTGATGGAAGAAAATTATTTCTTTAGTTGAAAAGAAATCAAGCGATTCTCCCTTTCTGTTAGGTTTGATGAAGGTCAAACATGAGTTTTGTGTCCAGGTTCTTTTCTGTTGAAAAATGGAACTAAATTCGTTTACGAGAGGATGTGTGGCTTGGACGGAAAAAGCTTTAAAGATCACTATCTAATGCTATAGGAAAAAGTCTGAATTACCCCTATGTACTATTGTGTGAGTACGAATTACTTCCATAAACCACAAAATCAAACATCCTTCACCCTCAACTTTTCATACTGAACGGATTGCCCCCTTGACTCGCTTTGGAGCGGTTTTTGTCCTACGTGACACACACATGGCAGTTATGCTTCTTCCTCTCTTGGTCTCCTCTTCCTTGACTCATCTCAGTCGCTATCCATCTCTACCTGCCGCTCGCCACCTCACCAGCCCTAGCCCCAAAGCCAATCCCTAGCAGCTCGTCGTCTTCATCATCGCCGCTGAGACCTGCCGCACCTGAGGCTGGCGCTTGCTGGGAGGTGCCCATGGAAGTGGGGGAGCCGATGCTCGCAGACAGACTAGAGAGCAGAGAGGGCTTGGAGAGAGGTGGAGGTGGCCGACGGGTGCGCTGAGGTCGTCACGGTAGCAAAGGGGACCGCCCGGCGGCGGCCACCCAAGGAGGCTGCCGATGAGGCCCAACACAGGTGTTGGTGGGGAAGAGGTACGGGCCTCGGCGCGAAGATGGACGGCACAACTAGTGGCAGTGCGACAAGTAGTCATCCTCGCCCCACAAAGGAGAGCAGATCTGACGCACCCGTGAGCTGGTCGGCGATCTTCACCACCTTGCGCTACGAGAGGAGCGTCACACTCACATCCCCCACG